TAACCATTCTATGATTCTATAAAGTAAAAAATTCTTAACTGTAATACAAATACATAACTCTCTTTTTGAAACATTAAAGAAAAAAAAAATCAAGGAAAAAATTAGTCCCAATTCAGCACGTTTGGAGAATGAGTTTCAATAGACTGAAAAGTTCAAATTAACAATGCCTAGTGTTTCTCTGCAAGATATATTTCATATGTGAATCTGAATGTTTGGCAAAATTATTCTTCCTTGCTACCTATGGAAGTTTTAGCAAAGAGTCTGTTAAATTTGCAGATGTCTCCTGAAATCAGACACTGATCTGTTCTACAGGCAGTGATACCCAACGAAACCTACATGACAGACCTCCAAAAAATGCTCCAATGTTACAGAAATAGGCATCAAGTGTGTACTCTCAAGAATAAGAGTGTAAATTACTGTTCACTGGTATATGCAACGCTAGTCATTTCAAATTCCAAGTCAAAATAATACAGGCCTTACCTGAAACAAAAGTATCAGCATGAAAACCACACTCCTCTCCCCACCCTCCCTGCCCCAGCTAAACAATAGAAAACAGTCTCCTGAATGTAATTACCTGGCGAAACGTGCTACACAAATGTTACTGTCAAGTTTCAGATGGCTAAAAGGTGTATAAATGGGAATGTTCTTTGCTGTTTTGAAAAGCTAAGATGGACAGTTTCAATAGCTTACAAGATCAAGTACAATCATAGTTTAAATTTCACTTTATTCTTGAGTCAAGAAGCCAAAACTAGTGTGACATGGTTTAATCCATAGATGTACCTGGCATTCTTCTATCTTCTGACGAAACCTCTCAGCATTTCCTTCTTCAACTCTGATTAGTTCTTTGATTGGCTGTATTTCTTTTTCCATCTCACCCACCTAAACAGAAGCATATATTAGCATATATGAGAATGTTTGCAGCAGACTGCGAATAATTTAAAGTATGTTTCATATGAAGAAACATATTTTTAACATTTACCACTGCCCATGCCATTTTATGTTTCAAATCTTCAAGACGATTTCGCAGGTCGTTCACAAACCCAATGCTTTTGTAACGTTCCTTTTTTTCACAATAAAGCAGCTTAAGTTCTTGAAGACGCTTAAAAAGAGAGAAAAAAGAAAATGAGAGGTTCAACTGTAGTGCAAAAAGCTGTGCTATAACATGAAATCTTGGGAAAAATTACTTTTTATAAATTTAATGTCACTAAGAGATTAAATAGGACAAGGGGTAACAGGTTTAAATTGAAAGTTGGAAGGTTTAGATTAGATATCAGGAAAAAATTCTTCCCAGAGAGGGTGGTGAAGCACTGGAACAGCTTGCCCAGAGATGTTGTGGGTGCCCCATCCCTGGAAGTGTTCAAGGCCAGGCTGGATGAGGCTTGGAGCAACCTGGTCTAGTGGAAAGTGTCCCTGCCCATGGCAGGGGGGGTGGGAACAGATGGTCTTTAGGGTACCTTCCAACCTCAACCATTCTGTGATTCTATGAAGACATAATCAAATCCAAACTATGTAGTTTAACTCCTATAGTTAGCGCTCAGATCTGTACTAATAATTACTTTAACTTTTACATACCTCTACTCCTTGTTCTATCTGAATACATGTATTTTCTTTAGTTTTCATAATAGATGAATAATCTTCTTTCATTTGTTCCAGCTGAGTTGCCTTCATAAATCTGTGATTCTATGAAGACATAATCAAATCCAAACTATGTAGTTTAACTCCTATAGTTAGCGCTCAGATCTGTACTAATAATTACTTTAACTTTTACATACCTCTACTCCTTGTTCTATCTGAATACATGTATTTTCTTTAGTTTTCATAATAGATGAATAATCTTCTTTCATTTGTTCCAGCTGAGTTGCCTTCATAAA